AGCAAATTCTCTTAACTGAATGTAGTTCTTTGGCTGAACATAATATCATTGTTATAACTCTAAAGGATTGATGATTGTGTGATGTTTTCTTTTTAGAATGCACTCCCCTCGTATTTTCTCCTTCATTTGTGAACTCTCTCTTCTCTTAGTGCCTTTTTCTAAAACCTTTCATCTGTCTCTGTTACTCCAAGAGATCTGTAGGCTTTGCTTTACATGTTCAGTAAATCTGCGCGGCAAATCAAAAGCAGATTTTTTTTTTTGTGGTGTTTCCACTGTGTCATGTACTGTGTGATTCTGTGTTAAAATGAAACAACAGAATCCTGACATACAGTAAAAGAGTCATAACAGCCCCATCAATACATGAGAAAGAACATTTATTCACCACGAGCAAACTTTAGTGAGACATCCTGCACCAATCAGCATTTAAAACCACGGACGGATGAAGTGAATAACATTGATTATCTCGTTACAATGGCACCTGTCGAGGAGTGGGACATATTAGTCAGCAAGTGAACAGTTAGTTCTTAAAGTTGATGTGTTGGAAAAAAGCAGAAAAAAATGGGCAAGTGTAGTAAACTGAGCCCCTTTGACAAAGATCAACCTCTCACAGCACAACAGCAGATCTAGTGGGGTTTTACTGACATGTAGGTAGAACTAAATTAAAGGAAGGACAACTGGGGAGTGGAGCCTTGCCTTTCTGCAGAACAAATGTCCACTGCTGAAAGCACCAACAGTGTGAGGGTCAGAAGTGGAACATTGATCAGTGGAAAGCAGTGACTTGGTTTGATGAATCATGTTTCCTTTTACATCGTGTGTGTGTCATTGACGAGGGGAGGAGATGGCAGCAGGTGGTTTTATTGTGATCGCTGGTCTGCGTAAGCAATGGANGCTGCCAAGAGAGTTTTAAGACTCTGTATGTGTCACCTTTCACATTACGTCCACTTGCTTGCTTGTAAAACTATTGATTAGTGCAGCTATAACATTTGGGAATCATGGTGATTCTTTCCTTCTCTGTCATTCACACACAGTCCTCACACACAGTCACTCTGCTGCCAACACTGAAACTGCACACACACACACACACACACACACACACTAATCTAATTGTATTTCAGCGGCTCCAGCCGAGTGTGAGTATAAATATTTGATAGGATCAGCGAGGGTGCTGAACGGGGCTCTGGGACCCGCCGCCTCCTTTTCTGTCCCCAAGTCCAGCGAGCTGGCTTGAAAACCAGGCGGCCTGACCACAAATCTCTGCTCTGAATCAATGACGAGCAGCGTCACACACATCTCGCGTACACACCGACGCACGAGGACGAACACACACACACACACATGCGCTCTTCCACAGCCTTTGTCACAGCGGTTCAGATGGGGAGCAGAATGGGGTTATCAAGCTTACAATCACTATTGATCACAGCCCCAGAGAGCAGCAGACTTCCTCCCTCTCCCCCGGCTTCTTGCTCTCTTTCTTCTCCTCCTCTTTTTCCACATCAGCTCTATTTCTCTTTGTGACCTTCTTCTTCTTCTTCTCTTTTTTTCCCCACCCTCCTTCTGATTCTGTTTCACCTGCTGTGTGTAGCAGAACGCCAACCTTAAACATCCAACATGCAGAACTGCCGTACAGGAAGCATCTCAGTTGTCTCACATAAAGATAAAGTGGAAGCTCATTTATTTTTCTTTAGCGTGGCCTTAAACCTGATTATTATTATATAAGATACAGTTTTAGTTCAAGAAATTGTTCTGTAAATTCAACAACAATAAAAAGTAAAGATAGAAAAAAGATTGAATTCTTTCATTTTCCTTTTCTGACCCTTCTGCGCTATTTTTTTTTTCTTTTCAGTCTTTCTCTTGTGAACCTGAATCTAACCAAACTTTATTTTGCTTACGACTCCTTCTTTATTAATCAGGGATAATAGTGTTCAAGGCCAAGTTGCCCATTCAGTCGTCTCTCAATCTTTCCCTCACGACGTCTACGAACATGTTAGATAATGTCGAGTAGCTGTGCGGTGGTGGGTTTGGTCTTTGGAATTAATTGTTTGATGCACTTGTCCTTGTGAAAGCAGATTAACAAAAACTTTTGAAACAACGAGAGACTTCTTAAAAGGAACACAAACTGCTCAGGACGCAGCTGCAGAGGTTCAGATTTTATATAAGAGTCCATAAGTCTAAGTTGTGTATGTTCTTCCAAACTTACATTTCATGTGCACACGGCTTGTAACTTTCATATCAGGTATTTTATAACACAGCACACAAGTTGATTTTATGTACCGCTCATTCAAGCAGGAGAGTTTTGTGTACGTCTGTGCCCAGCTGTGACTCATCTAACATTGTCTACGGAAAACAAACCAAACTTTTTTTTTCCTCAGAAAATGAATAGCTGTCCGTACTTTGCAAATGTCTGATAATGGCTCTGGCTTTGGTTGTGATGTGTGAGGTTTTAGTGATAAGAGAGGCGACTGTTGGTGGCTGTGAGGCGCGTTCATCCAAATTC